TTTTATTTTTTTTTTTTTTTTTCATTAATTTATGTTGAGGGTTATGTATGAAATCGTAATTGATTTTTGTAGAAACTGCAATTTTTCTAACGAATCCATGTTTGTTTTGGAGTTATAATTCTAATTTGTTGAACTCAAAATCGGATTTTTTTTGTCAATTAAATAATTTCGTCCTACTGTGATTATACAAAACCACAAAACAGTACAACCGCAAAACTTATGAAAAAAAAGTGTGCTTGAAAGGAATAATAGCTACCGGATGTGTGTTGCCCGGGGCGGCTTCAAATTCGGGTGACACTATATACTTTCGAGGGCCCAAAAAATAAAATGTAAAAAATACTAGTCCAAAAAAATAAAGAAAATTAGCCCAATAGCCCAAATGTATTATGAGTTTGTGGCTCAAGTTGCTTATTAAGTTTTTAACCCAATTTGAAATTGTGACCCACATACCCAATACCTATCCATGATCCATTGGACCATTCCATCAGCAGGAAACGATTTCCTTGCTGAAAAGAAAAAAAAATCGGCAATTCGGTATCTACCTTCTGTGAAAGCTGCGACGCAAAAAAAAAAAAAAAAAAAAACCGCCGATGCAGCCTCCTGCCTCCCTTCAATCGATTACAACCAAGGCATAAGTATTTCAATTTTGCTTGGCTTGGCTTTGCATTCCCTTCAAACCTACAAATACAATGAAACAAGTAATTATTGATAATTTTAGGTTTATGAAATTAATCAAATTAGTTGTTTTTTGTTGAAATTTCTTATTGTTTAGGTGAAATTAGTAGTTCTTAACCTTGAAATTAGTTTTTTACTTGTTAATTGTTGTTAGAATGTTAGATACTTAGATTGTTAACCTTGAAATTATTCAAATTAGTTTCTTTTCCATTGAGTTTTTGAATAATCGGATGGTTTACTTGTTTGATATTGAATTGTTAGGATAAAGACTAAATTACACGAATGGTCCCTATGGTTTATGGTAATTTGCACGTTTGGTCCATAACTTATTTTTTAACTCGGAAGGTCCCTACTATTTGTTTTTGATACGCTCTTGGTCCCTGTTTACCTAAAAAACATTTGTTTTTTGGTTATCATTTGTTGTTGTTTGGTCCTTAGAACAGTTTTTAACGCGAAGATTTGTTAGTTTCAATACGCTCTTGGTTTGTTTTAAGTTTTGAGCGTATTCCCTTGATTTTTTAATTTATTTAAATAAACACACCCCCAACCCCACCCCCATCATCTTACCTTACCTACCCCACTATTTTTCTCTATTTAAGTAATAGTCTTTTTAGGTAATACAGGGACCAAGTGCGTAACAAAAACAAACAGTAGGGACAAAGCGCGTAACAAAAACAAAAATTAGGGACTTTCCGAGTTAAAAAAATAAGTTAGGGACCAAACGCGCAAATTATCCCAAACCATAGGGACCATTTGTGTAATTTACTCTAGGATAAAATTGGGTCCTTTTTTGGAAGAACAAGCATCAATAAAATCAAGTGTTGGAGAATCCTGCAAAAGACCATGCTCCAATGATTTAAGTTTTGAAGAATCATCTAAAATACCATGTCCTTCTAATCAATCATTCCTTTCGGTTTCTAATATAAATCCACAACCTACAACTACTCCAATTACCATGTCCTCTAAAAGACCATGTCCTTCTAATCAATCAAGATATTTTAGAAGCGGCTTCTTTGGTTAGAGGGACAATGGACACATTGAAGTCTTTAAGAGACACGGGGTTTGCTAAACTTTTATCGAATGTATTTTCTTTTTGTCAAAAACATGATATTAATATTGTGGAGATGACGGAAAATTATGTCACATCGAGAGGCCGTAAGACGAAAGTTACTAATCAATTTCATTTTGAAGTTGAAATTTTTAACACCGTCATGGATATGCAAATTATAGAATTCGGGGACCGATTTAGTGAACTTAGCACCCAATCACTAGAATACATGGGGGCTTTGAGTCCTTGTGATTCATTTGCTAAATTTGACAAAACAAAGTTGTTAAAATTGAGTGAGTTATACAAAAAGGATTTTGATAATGCGGAGATGATGCAACTTAATGGTGAACTTGAGATATATTATCACGCTTTGCATAAAGATGATCGGTTCACTAGTTTGCAAGGAATTTTCGACCATTCTCGTTTGATGGTGGAAACTAGAAACATCGGTCTTATCCTATGGTTTATAGGTTGTTTAAGTTGGTTTTGGTTTTACCCGTTGCAACCGCAACAGTCGAAAAATATTTTTCTGCGAAGAAGTTGTTGAAGACGGATTTGCGTAACAAAATAGGTGATGATTTTTTGAACGATGCCATGATTTCTTATGTTGAAAAAGAAGCACTTATGAAAGTGAAGATCGAAGATGTAATGGGGTCGGTTTCAAAAAATGTGTACCTGTTGATGTCAAATTTAAATATTAAGATGTAATGGATCGGTTTGATGTATTAGCACTTTTAATTTTTTTTTTTTATGTTATTATATTCGGACGAAAAAAATTGTGTCACTGCTATGACAACTTTCTGCATCCGCCACTGTTCATACTATTTTATTATTGTTATTGTATATCTTGTTCTATAGTATATATATAAAATTAATTTTGTTTATCTGTGTTTAAAATTTGCTTTGCAAATTTCAATGTATGGATCATTCAAAGGTAATGTATGAGGTGTAAGAATGTTCAAGATTTTAGTTTAATGTGTAATGTGTTTCTTTTTGGTTAATTTATCTAATAATTTTGTTTAATCCGAATAAAAATATTTGTTTATATATTTTTTATTTTTTTATTTTCATTTCTACTCATTTTTTCGATTATGATGTTGGTTTTATGAAAATGTTAATTAATCTAGAATAATTAGTTACATGTCTAGTGAAAGGAGGATTAAGATAGGTAAACAACTTAATGTTGGTAAAATGAGTTTGGTTCACCCATCTAAATTTTCTTTTTGATATTCAATCTTTTTATTTGTCAATGTATTCTAACAGAATACTGATTTTTTAGGAAAATCAAATACACAATATAGTGTATTCTATAAGAATACATTACGTTTAGTAAAGTGTATTATATTAGAATACACTCGGTTAGAATTTAAAATAATAATTGCACCTTAGGTTTAATGATTCTTTATGATTCTCTGTTAATATTTTTATAATTATGTAGTTATGCTCAACTGGCTGGTAACACATTTTTAAAAATCTTGTTATTGTATTTTCATAGAATTTTAGTTAATTATTTATATGTTGAATGTGCAGTTGGTATACACGTATCACAACAAAATATTTGGAATGCATTCATGATAGTAATGACTTGAAGAATGTCTTGAAGACCTGATTGTTTGTAGGAATAGTTAAATAAAGTCGATTATTTTGACCATTGAAGAAAATCAAGTGTATTTGTTCAAGAATTATATATTTAAGAATGCTATAATTATATTAAAATGTATAGGGCTCTTATTCTGTAAGAATATGTATAAATTTGTATTTAAGCTCGAATGTTTATATATAAGTATGTTGTTATAATTTAACTGGGGGTCAATAATTTTGTTATTCTTCAATAACCTGCTAACAGAATAACATTCTGACATAACATTTTTATAGAACATCATTTTAACAAAATAACATTTTGACAGAATAAAATCAATTATGGTTACAAATTAGGTTAGAATTGAAATTTAATTAATTTAAAAAAGAAATCAATTTTTCTAATTCAAGAGAATTAATCATCCGTTAAATTATGGAAATTTTCTTTTCTAAATTTATCTTAATTAAATAAAATATCCTTAGAATTAAATTAGATGATGTTTTTCTATTATCTTTAATTTAATGTAGTAATAATTATTAATAACTTTCTTAATATAACTAAAATGTTTGGTGCACAATCAACCCTACATCTACAAAATAGATAGTTAGAATATAATAACCTCTATATATATATATATATATATATATATATATATATATATATATATATATATATATATATATATTGTAGGTAGAGGAATATATATGGTTGAGATGTATTAACATTCTAAATTTTAGTTTCAGTGGAGATGTGAGAAACAACCCATGAAAACACACAAATAGAATACAAAAACTTCTTTAAAAATGAAAAAAAGATTAATAATAATAATAATAATAATAATAATAATACATTTATTAAATCAATAACAAACCTAGCAACAAAATAATCAAAAAAAAATTTAGCGACAATATATCCATTGACATTCTCTGCGATGAAATGAAATTATGCATACATATAGGTAAAGAGATATTATGAGGAAACCTTAAGAGTACAATAAAATACCAATTAATGTATATAAGTTAAAAAATGAGCATAATTTGATCAATTTATATCATAAAATATCATTAAGTATATATAAATTATAAAGTTTTTGAGTTGTTGTTATTAATTAGATGGAAAGTGAAAAGTTTGAGTTTTCAAATGCATATTGTATAAAAGAAAAATTCATTTATAATAGATATTGATATAGATATAGTATACCACAAGATTTTAATATTAATTTATTATATACGTAAGTATTCTAAAGGTGTTTTACAAGAAATAATGTGTGTATAGCCGACCAATTTTCATGGGAAACCTTCAAATGGGAATAAAGCAAAGATTGAACAGCAAGTGCACGCCAGATTATATCATTTCACGCTCAAAATACGGCCCATGCGACGCTAATGAATAGTTGCAAATTACTCAAAAAGCATAATTAATCCCATGAAAGAACAACCACCAAATACTTAACAAAATTGAGCAAAATTGGCCCAAGCTCTTGAATCATGAATTCACAATTAAAATCATTAATACAGTGTTTGGCAAACCTTAAAAACGACACAATTTCAGACCATAAGTAGTATAACTGTATAAATATGAATTAACAACAATTTTTTTCGCGTTGACCATGACAAACACAGCCATTATTGATAGCATATATGCACGAATAATTAACGATCAAATGAAGATCAATATCGAATAATAATCACGCGTCCTTTAGGCGTAGTTGCAGAGACCGTATATGCAGTAACCACCAGGCATGCACTTAGTGCCACACGATCCACAATGCCTCTTGTCATACGCCAAGTTTACGCATTCTCCATTGCAACACGAGCTTGTAAACTTGCACTTTTTCTTGCAGGCTCCACAGTTATGCTTATCCTCGCTCAAATCCATGCACTTGTTATTGCAGCATGTTGAGTTTTTTCCTTCCAAGACGTAACAAATCTCGTCGTCTTTCTTACAGTGATCTGCAGCTCTAGGGTTGGGCTCTTTCTCAGCAAGGAAACGGCTCCGGGGACGTGCAGGAAAGGATCTTATGGTCACCGGAGATGGTGTGTTGGTTGTGGCGGTGGAGCTGAAGGTGAGGGTGGTGACGGCGATACTGATGGTGATGGTGATGGCTACCATGAAGATTATTTGCATAATCTTCATGATGATTATTGGACTAGAGGAAGAACTCAGAAGGATCGATTAAGCTGGTTCTTGTAATTAAGGTTTGTTAAGATCGAAGGTGGGTTGAGGGAGATGGAGTGGATGTAATGGGAGTTATATAAGATGAGTAAAGGGGGGAGTTGACCTCTTCCCTGCACTCTTTCGATGTCTTGTGTTGATTAGGGCTCACTCAGTTCAGTTGTCAACGACGTTTCTTAGAATGGCCATTCTGTTTAACTATGTATGGTATTATTGATTTGTTTATAACTATATGTAGTAGCATACTTTTTTTATTACAACATTAATATCCTTTCGTTTGAAATAAAACAAGTTTCATTTCTATAATATGCAAGATTATTCAATAAACTTTGGTAATAAGAAAATATTGAATGTATAATATTATAATTTTTTATACAATTTTTCAAAGTACAACTTTTTTTTTTTTTTTTTTTCCCGAAGAACATGCTAACAATTCTTTCTTCTAAGGGGTTGTTTGACAGGATTTCTCTGATTAAGATCTGAATCATAGAGCATCAAGCAAACCAGCCGGGGACTTTAAAAAAATCCGTCTTTCATTAAGAATATGATATGTAGTTAAACATGTGAATGACTCTATTGAATTATAAAAATAATTATGGGTAAATGTCACTATAGCTCATTCAACTATCGTCGTTTATCCTATTTGGTCACTAAAGTATTTTTTTTGCTCAATAGGTCATTAAACTTACAACTTACATGTTTATTAAGTCATTTTCTTTAGTTTTTAACAGATCTTCCATTAACCAATTATTGTAATTTACAAGAATGGCCCCTATGATTTCAATTTCTTGCGTGGTTGGTCCTTTACTAGCATCGTTCGTCACCTGCACCACTATCGTTCTTGAACATGTTGTAAAGTTGTTTGTTCTTGAATATTGGAGCTATCTGACCCGTTTTTTTGTCTTCCAGTCGATGTAAAGTTGCTTGTCTGAACCCGTGGATCTCTGAAAGCTCACAATGCCACCAGCTTTTAAGTTCTTTTCCTTCACGAATCGGCTCCAACCTTTGGTTAAAACGTAACTCTGGCTACTATTCAAGTATGAGTAACGAAATCACGAAATCTTCATAATTTCATCCCGATGTCTTTGAAATGTAAAAGAACTCCTTTGGAAGTGCTTCCGCTTTGCAACGGGAAGTGCTTCTCTGCGTGCTGCTTTGTTATCACTAGCCGGTTCAGTTTTCCGACGTTGCTGGGGGTGACTGTCTTCTCAAAAAGTTGTTCCCGGGAGTTGACCAAGTTGTCACCCGATCTAAACCCGTTTGTAAAAGGGGTTTTGTTTAAGCTGTAGCTTCTCTTACTTTGTTCTAACTCATCATTATATGTGTGTTTCCTCAACATATCGACGATATCAACTTTTGAATGAGAATTCAAGAAACTAGCTTCCAACCCCACTTCATTAGTGTCAAGAACCATCCTGCCCCTACTGCCGATCAATGGAGGCGTAGTCACTGGTTCTGCAACTGTTGAAGTTGTTTATGTAGTTGTGCTTTGATCATCAGTGGAACTTCCTTCCATTGTAATTAGTGTTCTTGAAGGAGAGAGAAGCAGGAAGAAGAATGAGGTTCTATATATAGAGAGAGAAATATGATGTATATGAAGTGGGTGTAAGAGAAAGGTTGAGTATAATAATTGACGAGGTTGCCCGAGGTGAATGGTGGTGGTTGTCGGAATTGAACGGTGGTGACGTCGGTGATGAACTATGCTGGTATGAGACTAACCACGAAAGAAATTGAAATCATAAGGACCATTCTTGTAAATTATAATAACTGGTTAACGGAAAATCTGTTAAAAACTAACGAAAATGACTTAATAGACATGTAAGTTGTAAGTTTAATGACCTATTGAGCAAAAAAAATACTTTAGTGACCAAATAGGATAAATGACGATAGTTGAATGGGCTATATTGACATTTACCCAATAATTATTTACCTCTTTTGAACTATTTTCTTCAAGAACATCAAAAACTTAAATTAACATAAAGATTTTTGAAATGTGTTCATAAAGATTTAAGAAAACCACTGGAGAGAGTTCTTATTTCTATATAAATACAAAGAGTTCACAAAGATTTGTAGTTTATGCTTTCATACATATGTCATTATTCAACACAATTGTTCATAAAGATTTATGTTCTAATTTCATACATGCATGTTTCTGAAATTAGTTGACAAATTTCAAGAAATCAAAAGGGTTACTTATTTCTGATTCTACACATATTTCAGAAAAATCAAAAGGGTTACGTATTTTAGATAATCAGAATGGTATCGACTTCACACATAGTTTAGAATATCATAATCAAAATGGTTAAATATTTTAGAAAATCAGAGAAGAAAATTACAGATTCAGGGACGGGGTGTAACAGCCGGTTAAAATAAAGTACACGTAATTTTTTTTAGCAAAAAAAGTGTATATTACATTAACCTATCATACAAGTCGTTATCATACATATCAAAAGAAAGTTATAGAGGATCGGGAACGAGCCGGGTTTTACATTTTAGTAAAACATATCATAACTAGTTTGTTTATCTAAACACACTATGTCTACTTCATCACACTCTTCCCTTTATCCGTAATACTTGTACCTGCAATTATAAAAACATTTAAAAATGGTAAGCTCAAAAGCTTAGTGAGCAGAAATTAACAAATCATAATACTTGACTCAACACAATTTATCACATCATCTTTATTAAAGTACCCATCTTCATGCAAGTGAACCCAATTATCTCTCATGGGTATAATATGTAAATCTTGTATTCCGCATCATCAGTCTCATTGAGTAACTCTATCTCATGACACGATCAAGTTCCATCTCATAAAATCCATCATTCGTATATTTATGATCTCAATAAGAATAATTCTCTTAGTGATCTCATCCATAACGTAATCCAATCACCTCTCATGGATTCATTATGAACATTTCATGTAGTCAACCAATTTCTCTTTACATATATACACAATGTTACATATATTAAAATATATATATATATATATATATATATATATATATATATATAATTTATCTAAATATTTCAACAATCAATGAAATCAAATTCATCTATTAGCATTTAACTCACAATTTAATCAAGAATTACTCAGATTATCTGTGGCCTATTCGGGTGATATACCAAACTTGGAACTTCCTTGATCAACCTCTTCTCTTGATTTCATATTCATAAAGTCAATTCATACACATCATTGATCAAGTCATATTCATGACTTAACTCATATACATCATCTCTTTTGTATGAAATCATCTCATCATCTTAATTTTTGGACAATCCTTACACATATCAAAATATTCAATAATCTTTAGAAAGTTCATTTTATCAATTATGAAGATTAGTTAAATATTATTTTAATACTTAATGAATTAATGCATTGAGTCATATTGTTCACTTATAACCTCTTAATCTCTTGGATTAGGTTTCCATCTCAACTCGTACTTCTCACATACAAAGTTCATAATCATTAGAACAAGTTGTAATTAAGCTATATAATCTCAGTTACTAACTTAATTTCGTCATTCAAGTTCATGTCCTTCACTCAGGGTTTCACCATAACACTGATAATATTGCCCTAAATCATAAATTGATGTGTTAGAAGTAATAGTTCATATGTTAATCCACCAGATTGAAGCTTTAATTTGTAATCCTCATTAAGAATCAGACTCCTGGGGATTAGCTAGATAGGTAAAACACCACCATTGTGTGTGTTTTTGAGAGTGTTTTTCGAAATGATCTATTTACAAATCGTTTTTTTTTCAACCTGCTCCAGTCACCACGTCATTGCACATTGCATGCCACATCATGACGTGTCTTTATGACACTTCTCTTTTGCAACATTCTCGATCCGTCACTAAAAATAAAGGCTAGTCTACTTTCCTACACATCGTGTTTAAACTCCTTCATGTCGTGGTATTTCAAAGTAATTGTTGTCACTGTTCATTTTATGTAACTCAAATCACCGTTGTGAGCCAACGTCGAGGTCTCCTATCTGCCACGTCGTTGGTTTGACAAAAATGTTTTTTTCTCCACATTTGATCACTAGTTGTTATGGAGCAGGGGAGAAAGGAACTACATGATTAAAACATTGCACGTGATCATGGAGCGCAATGCCTTTAAGATATGGGTGTAGGGAGGATAATACTTAATACTAAGCATTCATTGCAGTTTTTCATGCAAATTTGACTACAGTGTGCACTCCCCTTTGTTGGTTTTATATTAAAAAATAGTCTAATAATAATCTCAAAACTACGAGTTTAGCAACATAAGCATTTTATAAGAATATCAATAAAACCTTTTTATACCCACCAAAGGATCAATTTGCAAGACTTAGAAATATTAAAACAGAACCATAAGAAAAAAAGAACTACAACCTTTGAAGACATTGATTCCTCTCGGAAGGTTAAAAGTTGATAAAGATGGGAAGAACACAAATGAGGGTTCCTCTACAAGTATCCACCAAGCATGAATAAACCATTTCAAGATGCTAGTCTTCACTTTTAATTATATATTCTTAATCCTTAAAGAACTTATACAAAATAAGCCTTAAAGGGGAAGAAAGTAAAAGACTGTAATATTCACAACAATTTGCAAGATATTGAGAGGGGATGAGAGCTTCATGCTCTCAGCAATAGAAGAGAAAAAGAGAAGAAAAAGATCAACCTTTTAATAAGTAACATGCTTCAATATATACTACCACATAAGTAATTAAGGAAAATACCTTTCACCTAAGTCAAAGCATGGTCTAATAGAAGCATGGGAGAAAGAATGAAAGATAACACTCCACCTCCCCCATACCTTGAAAAACCACGAATAGGAGGAAGGTGATTGTAGGTTGGTGTGTATTGTACTCCACCTCATTAACTAGTTAGTTACATGTTGTAACTAGATGAAACACTAAGGGTCCAAATAATTATACATGACATATATTCATACCA